TCCCCACATTGTCTTTATATTTATTTATTTTTCATTTACCATTTATTGTGGTGTTTGGGATGTCTCCCAGGACTATGTCTTTGCTAGACAAGTGCTCTGTCACTGAGACATCCCCAGCCACATTTTCTTTTTTATTATATCCATTGTATTGGGTATGAGATGCTATCTCATTGTGGTTTTGATTTCTGTTTTCCTGATTACTAGAGATGTTAAGCATCAAAAACTTCTAAACTTGTACAGACTTTCTCCTTTGGACTATATTATTTAATTTTTGATGTATTAAAATATATGAATTTAGCCAGATGTGGTGGTGCATGCTTGTCATTCCAGGTACTGCAGAGGCTGAGGCAAGGACTGATTTGAGACTGGCCTCAGTAAGTTGGTAAGACACTGTCTTAAAAGGGTTGGTGATATGTAACTCGTTAGGTTTTCCTAGGTTCAATCCCTAGTTTTTTATTTAAGTGAATTGATGGGGGCTAGAGTTGTGGCTCAGCCGTGCAGTGCTTGCCTCGCGCGTGTAAGGCGCTGGGTTCATTCCTCAGCACCACATAAAAATAAATAAAATAAAGGTATAAAAAAAGTGAATTTATGTATGACTTATTTGAATATCATGAGTGGCAAAATAATGGAAAGTATAACAGTAATATCAGAATCTGGGAGGAGGAGCAAGTGAAGAATTTTTTTAGTTAGTAGACTTTCAAATTGCATTAATAAACAGCCTAGATAAGTCTGGTTTTTTTTTTTTTTTTTGTGGTGGTACTGGGAATTGAATCTAGGGGTGCTCTGTAATGAGCTGTTTCACCTGCCCTTTTATTTAATTTAGAGATAAAAATAATAATATAATGCAGTCACAAAGCAGGAGTCAAAATATTGGTGTCTATAAAAGAGAACTTTAAAGGTAAATCATAAAGAGCGAAGAATATGTTATCTTTATTTAGCTTTGCATAGTTGTAGTACGTATGAATTTTATTTACTGTGGCTTAGTTAAGTAATACCTGTCCCTAAACACCATGGTATAAACTACAAAATTTGCTACTAGCTTTTCAACCCACAAATTAAGATGTAAATCACAGATGTGTACCGTGTCACTTTCCTAGTTTCTTGGTGATTGGTCCTTGTGTATTTGTTTCTCAAAACATATACAGACTGCAAGTATGTAGTTGGCCATTGTTTCCAACAATAGACCCAAGTGACTTTTACCAAAATAAAGAAACAAGAGAATTGGCCAGCAAAGATGAAGTACAGTAAAGAAACAATAATAATGCTGGAAGTTAATTTGAATTGAATAGGTAGAGTTATATATAAGTAGCTAACCTTATGAATGTTGATGTGCACATTTGGAGAGACATTAAATGTCCAATCCCAGGAACTTGAGAGAAGTAATGAAAACAAGTTTATCAACCTAAATGAGGAAAGTGGTTAGAAAGTATGAAGATGTCCTAGAGGATGTGGCACCAACAAAAACATTAAAGATAAGTCACAGTGTTGAAGAGTAAAATGTTGGAAGATGATCTAAACTTAACAAAGGAGTATGAGTATAGAAAATATGCTTATTCCATAGAAGTTATCAAAAGAAGCACTGTTCAAATTACTCTTGATTTTTTTTTAAACAACAACAAAAAATGGCACTCTTTAATCTCAGTGTTCCTAATATTTTCAGTTACAATGTACACAATAATATTGGGCTTACTATTTCATTTCTTTACATGTTTCTAACTGTCAGTAATAGTATTTAGTGTCATGATAATTTTTAAAGATCATGGAACAATTATAATTTTTCCCATTGATTATCTAGAGTGCTTATTTTTTGACCTCTCACTGTCTATATATAAAGTAGATGGCCTGTTTTTAATTCTTGCCACTTGGGAGGCCAGAGGCTGACGCAGGATTGCATGTTCAAGGCCAGCCTGGGCAGCTTAGTGAGACCTGTCTTGAAATAAAATTAAAAAGGGCTGGGATGTAGCTGAGTGGTAGAACAATTACCTAGTATGTGCAAGGCCCTGGGTTTAATACCTAGTACCTGCTGCTTTTGAGATGAAGGTGGATAATGCATGTAAAAAATATTTATTTTAAACCCTTATACACATGAATATCATTGTGGTAGATCAGTCTTCTTTTTTCAGTGGCTTTTAGATTTAGAGTCTTACCTAAAAACACTCATGTTTGAGAATTTTAAACTTTTTTGTGTGTGTGTGTGTGTGTGTGTGTGTGTGTGTGTGTGTGTGTGGCTGAGGATTGAGCCTAGGGCCTTGTGCATACGAGGGAAGCACTCTACCAACTGAGCTATATTCCCAGCCCTGGAATAAGTATTTTTCAAGATTCCCTTTACTTCTTGTAGTTCCTCATGGCAGCAGTTTTTATGTTGATGTGGAACTATAAATGAGGATATTGTTGGACCTTTTTATCTACATTGTTGGCTAAGATCCAGTTTTTCTCTTTCAGCTTCCAAAGTTTTTATCTCATATGATCTTATGAGTCTATACCTTTAAATTACTTCCTTTACCATTGTCTTTTGAAGTTTCAAGAGGGAAAATTTGTTGAACTAGCTTGTTTCAACTGGAAATAAATTTTTGTGGCAGTTCAACTAACTTACTTTGAATTTAAAATTGATTATGTAGTAGGTGTGTTGCACAGTAAAGCTTTTATGTGCCCTAATTATATTTAGAGTTCTAAGTTTCTTTATCTTTTAAAATTACCTTTATTTTGTTTATTTAGTTTGTTTCTATGTGGTGCAGAGGATTGAGCCCAGTGCCTCATGCATGCTAGGCAGGTGCTCTACACACTGAGCCCCAGCCCCAGCCCTCTAAGTCTCTTTTTAATGGAAATTTTAATTTAAAATCTTACAAAGTATTCCTGTAAGTATTCATTAGGTCTTTTATTCTTACAGGATTTCAGCAGATACAAAATTTGTGATATATATATCTAATTACAATAATTTTAAGTTTTAGTACATTTTAGAGGAAATTAGAGTCAATTTCATTGTCCTGTTTTGGAAAGCACATATATAAAACTTGGTGCAGTGGGTGCATGCCTATAATTCCAGCAACTTGAAGGCTGAGGCAGGAGGATCACAGGTTAAAAATAAAAGGACAGCTTGGTCAACTCAGCAAGATCCTATTTCAAAATAAAAAGGGCTGTGGGTGTAGTTCAACAGTAGAGAGCTTGCCTAGCAATGCATGAAGCCCTGGATTCAATTCCTAGCATTGCAGAAAAAACAAAAAGCCCAAGTACAGGTATGTGTCCATTGTAGTGAAAATAACTCATACATAATGTCTACTTTCATAGAAGTGACAGGCTTTTTTTTTTTTTTTTTGTACTGGGATTTTAATCTGGGTACTAGTTCTCCTGGCTCAGCCCCCCAAGTAGTTGGATTATAGGCATGGATCACTGTGCCTGGCTTAGAATTGACACTTTCTAAAGAATTTATATAGGAAAGGGACACATAAGGGGTCTGTCTTGGAGAAGGTATCTGAATACACAAAACCAGTTGGTGCTTGTTATCTATGGATTATGCATTTGTGAATTTGTCTACTCATTAGAATTTATTTGTAGTCCCAAATTATTTATTTTAATAAGTATTATTTTTACAGTCTACATAGCACCATAAGCTTTTGCATTTCTGTGCTGTGTGTGTGTGTGTGTGTTTTAACTAGTCCTGAAACATAGTGCTAAAATTCTTTTTAGTGTTCTTAAGTTCTTAAGGTTATGATTTACCTTATGGAGAAAGCACATTTTCTATAAGTTGTTGGCTGTGAATTCAGTGTTAGTGAACCAGCAATATATTTTGTAAAGTATTTTTAAACTGGTTATGTATGGACAGGATTATGAAAATGTTGTGACTGTAGGAATCACACCTTGTATATCCTATAGGAGCATTATTAGTTCATTAGAATTCAGTGTTCACAAATTAGGTGCTGTACCAAATTTTGTTGAAATGAAATTATATTTGGAATGCAGTTAAAGGTTTGATGAATGGTGTTGTGTCTTTTTGTGTGTGTGCTTGTGTTTTTCTTTCATTTTTTTTGTACTGGAAATGAACCAAGAGGTCCTTAACCACTGAGCCACATCCTTAGCCCTGTTTGTTTATAATTTTGAGATGGTGTCTTGCTAAATTGCTTTAGGGCCTCACTGAATTTCTGAGATAGCCTTTGAACTTTTGATCCTCCTGCCTCAGCCTTCCAAGTTGCTGGGATTCCAGGCATGTGCCACAATGCCCAGCGTGGGTTTGTGTTTTTCTCTTATAAAAAATAACAGAATTTACTGTTTTAACCATTTTTCTATTAACACAATTGTACATGTTTATGGGATAAAGTGTGAAAGTTGGAGTTATAAATAGTTGAGATATATGTGAATATCTCAATGTCTGTATATACATGTGTGAATATATGCATATATATGTAGTGAGTTAAATTGGTACATAGCATATTCATCACCTATCTCCTCAGATGTTCAGTATTTCTTTGATGAGACAGTTTGAAATCTCTTCTAGTTATTTTGAAATATCAATTAGTGTTATGTTCTAACCATTTTTAAGTGTATAGTTCAGTGGTGGTAAGTGCATTTGCATTTTTGCACAACTTCTGTGGTCTCTCTTTTTTTTGCTCTTAGGATTATGGATCTAGGAGGTTTTTATTGAATTTAAGTACTTGGGGGCTGGGAGTATAGCCCAGTGGTAGAGCATTTACCTAGAATCAGTGAGGCCCCTGGGTTCATTCCTCTACATTACAAAAAAATAAAAAAGCCTTTATAATTATATCAGGGACCATTTAATTGTTCTGTAAGCAAAAAGAACCTAAAGAACTTTAAATTGTAATAACACTTCATCAGAGCCTTCTCATACCTTGGTGATATTGTCCTAAATTAATAAAATGAAATCATTAGGATTTAAAATGATCATTGTTTGTTTTAATTAACACATTTAAAGTACATCATAGGATAGTGCTATTTAATAATATTTAATTGAGATTGCCATGCATTCATATTCTCCCCTTTTGTTTCAGTGCTTTTTTAGGACCAAAGGATATATTTCCCTACTCAGAAAATAAGGAGAAATATGGCAAACCAAATAAACGAAAAGGTTTTAATGAAGGTTTATGGGAAATAGATAACAATCCAAAAGTGAAATTTTCAAGTCAACAGGTGAGTCATATTACATAAAATTTAGTATTTATTCAATCTTGGGAAATAACCACAGTCTTGCCTGTGGGAAAATAAATACTAATTTAAAAGCCTTGTGGATTTTAGGTTAAATTGTTCTTATTTATAAGGCTGAATCTTGATTTTTAATGTGTAATGAATTTTTGAAATTTTTAGTTGCATGGCTAAAGAGATCTCAGAAACTGAGACATCATCAGTTAACTCCTGATTGAGAGTTTATTTAATACGTTGTTGAAATTAATGCCATTTGTGCCTTTTTTTTTTTTTTGCCTGTTTCATCAATTGCTAAAGAATGAGTGTTCTTATCGCCGTACCATGATTGATTTGTTCATTTTTCATTTTAATTCTGTCAGGTTTTCTTGTGTATATTTTCAGGTTATTTAACTAGGTGCACACTAACTACACCATTTGTACTCTTAAATTTGGGATTTTAAATTTAGTGTGTGCTTGAATTTTCTTATTTTCTTTAATTTTTAAATCCACAGAATTATATCAGAATATTAACCTCCGTGGGTTAAATGTGTGACTTAGAGCAAAATGCAAATTATTGATGTCTAGAAGAGCAGCCTTATGCCTCCTTTTCTATATTATTGTCCAGAGCTAATTTATCTATGACATAAATTTTTATTTATTTATTCATTTGTTTATTTTTTTTTGAGAGAGAGAGAATTTTTAATATTTAATTATTTTTAGTTTTCGGCGGACACAACATCTTTGTTTGTATGTGGTGCTGAGGATTGAACCCAAGCCGCACGCATGCCAGGCGAACGCACTACTGCTTGAGCCACATCCCCAGCCCCATAAATTTTCATTTTTTATTTTAAGCCCTTTTCATTTTTTATTTTAAGACAGGTCTAGCTAAATTGCTTAGTACCTCATTAAGTTGCTGAGGGTAACCTTGAACTTGCAATTCTCCTGCCTTAACCTCCCAAATTGCTGGGATTACAGGTGTGCATCCCTGTGCTCAGCACAAACCAGGATTAGAGAGCTGTCAGGAGATCTTGTGAAAACATTGAGGTGATTCTTTATTCTAGTTCCTTTTTATTAAGGCCTAAAGTACCAAAAAGTGGGAGGAACATGAATAAACTTTTTTTTTTTTTTTTTAAACTTTGAGAACTTGCCCTGTGTTCTGTTTGGGGTATCTAAATCATTGATGTTCCAAGGCTGCATTAGATGTTCTTTTGTGCCTTCATTACCACCTAGTACTTATTTGTCGTGGTACTCATCATAGCATATCATAATTGCTTCTATAGTTGTTTGTAACTGCCACAGATTATTTTACTAGGTCTATGAATAAAGGAATCGTGTCATATGCATCAGCACTGTTAATTGTGTGGGAAGAATAGATAATTCACTAAATGTTTGTTGAATGGTTATATAATCATCCATCCCATCATAATTACATTGACTGTGTAATGGGAGTACACTTGTCCAAACAGACAAAACTGATTGTCTTGTGGAAATTTTTTATATCTTATTTGATTTATTTGTTTTTATGTGGTGCTGAGGATCGAACCCAGTTCCTCACACATGCAAGGCAAGTGCTCTACCACTGAGCCACAACCCAGCCCTTTATGAAATGTTTTGTAATTTCTCTTAGATAATCTCTCTTGTGATTGCACCTTTCTCCTCTTTTTTATCCTCCATTTGTCCACCTAGTTTATTCTATCCTTTGTTTCTATCTACTCAGTCTGCAGGTAATTTTCATCAGATAGATTTGTAATTTTCTATTTTGCATTGAGACTTTTGGGAAGGTTATATGAATGAAATCAAATAACATTTTGTCTACTGAAAGGATTGCTGCTGATTTGATGCATTCTGATTCCTAGGCCTAGACACATCCCTCGTGGCACAGGGCTTATGGAAAACTGATGTCCAGATATATATATATATATATATATATATAAAATTGACCATTTTGAATTTTAAAATTTTCTATAATGTTATGAATAGTTTTCAGAAAAATTTTACATCATTTTGTTAATAACTGTGCTGGGGTTAGAGGTGCATACCCCACAAATCCTGTTGATTTGGGAAGCTGAGACAGGAGGATTGCAAGTTCAAGGCCAGCTTTAGCAACGTAATAAGACTCAACAAATTTGTGACACTCTGTTTAAAAATAAAAAAATAAAAAGGACTGGGGATGTGGCTCAGTGGTTAAGTATCCCTGGGTTCAGTCCTCAGTACCTAAAACAACATCAACAACAAGTAATTTTGTATGTTATCAGAAAGTTTTAAATTTTTAAATATTTATTTTTGTTACTGGGGATTGAATTCAGAGCCACTTAACCACTGAGCACATCCCTAACCCTTTTTTTATATTTTAGTTAGAGATAGGGTCTCGCCAAGTTGCTGAGGCTGGTTTTGAACTCGTGATCCTCCTGCCTCAGCCTCCCAAGAAGCTGAGATTACATGCGTGCACCACCATGCCTGGCATGCCCCCTGCCCCCCCTTTTTTTAAAACAAAAAGAACTATCATTCAAAAAGTTGTAGATTTGGGGTTTTCTTTAGGAATGATCAACCTATAGTAGCCTTTGAAATAGTTTTAAAATTAAGTATCCTATGAAACACAAATCAGTAACTTTTCCTTATTGCAAACAGTCTTGATTTTTTTTGTGAACAGAAAAAATTTTTAGGTTAAAATTTGTTTTGTGAAGTTAATAGTGTTATTTTGCATAGGCATCAACTAAACAATCAAATACATCATCTGATGTTGAAATTGAAGAAAAAGAAACTAGTGTTTCAAAGGAAGATACTGATCATGAAGAAAAAGCCAGCAATGAGGTATGTTTTCGTTTTTCTTACACTCTTAAACCCCATTTTTTTATACCTTTATTTTTATTTATTTATTTTTATGTGGTGCTAAGGATCAAACCCAGTGCCTCCCACATGCTAGGCAAGCACTCTACTGCTGAGCCACAACCCCAGCCCCTCTTAAACCCCATTTTTATAGCAAGAAAGAAATTGTAAAACAAGTTGACCTGGCAAAGTAGGAAGCAATCTTTAAAGTAATGAATGAGAACATTTTAAGGCTTATTTCCTATAGTAAGTATTTTTTTAAGAGTGTTTGTTGTCTTTAAGATGCACAGATGTTTTTATTTGAAGCTATTTTCATGTACAAAACACAAGTGCAAAACTATAAAGTAGATTAGTGTTTGTTAGGAAAATTTTTATTTTTTCTTATTTATTTAGTTGTTGATAGGACTTTATTTTTGTTTATTTCTATGTGGTACTGAGAATAGAATCCAGTGCCTCACACATGCTAGGCAAATACTCCACCACTGAGCTACAGCCCCAACCCCCAGGAATATTTTTCTAAAGCAGAGGATTGTGGGATGGAGGGATGTACGGAAAAAACATTAAGCTGAATTCTTTAAAACTTACGTTGATTTACACTTCTGTGATTGGGAATACTCATTTAGCCCTTCTAGACTTCATGAAATGATTGTTAGATGACCTCCAAAGTTTAAGCCACTTTAAAATTCATAGCCCTAATATCCAGAATTCTATAGAAAAAGTGGCTTTATAATTTAAATAGACAAACTTCTGGTGTACCAGCAGGACTTTTAATGTTTATAATATCAAAGGTCAGAAAAGTAAAACAAACTTCTTTAGTTCTTTTGCTGAAACGTGTTTGGGGCTTAAGTTTAAGAAAGTTTCTTTTAGCCTTGTCCTGATTTATTCAGTTTTATTTGCTTTTGTGTTTTTAAGGATGTGACTAAAGCAATTGATATAACCACTCCAAAAGCTGCCAGAAGGGGGAGAAAGAGAAAGGTAATTTCACTGACTAATCATAAGTATCTTTAAAATTTTTTATTTTACTTGGATTGAGAAAGAGTAGAAATAATGAAACTGCCTTTAAAACTTGACCTTTTACTCTGAACCTTTAATTTTTAAAGGGTAGGTTATGTTAGCAAAACTGATTTTTTTTTCTTGGTGATATAACTATGGTATCCTTAAGGTGTATTGAAAAAGAAAAAAATGCAACAGTTTTTATGACTCTACTTTTGTTTTCTCTGTAAAATGAATATTTTCTTGTAGTATTGTTGGTAAAAGGATTAAATGATTTAATGCATGAAAAATGTTTATGATAAATCTTGGTCCCTAAATACTTGTATGTGCTGTGTAAGTGTTACACATCATTATGTTGTTACTGTGTCACAATGTTGTGTGAAATGAGAGTTTGAGTGACTATGTAGGGATAGGTATCTGGGTAGGCTTTTAATTTGTTATGAATTTCCTTCTTATGAAGTTTTGGTCACACCTATTTCTCTCCTATTTATGTTTCTGACATATATACCAAAGATAGAAAATCAAGAGTTTAGTATTTTATGAGGAAGTAAAATATGAAAACAAATAATTATAATGGCTTTTTAGCCTTTGATATATGCATGGGAGAGGGGATGTGATAACTAACGAGATTTTAAAAGGTAGGCAGAATTTTGTCAGGCAGGTGAAAGATGGAGAGAAAGGATATTGAGACATTTTGTCAAATAGTATAAGCACATAGAGAAAATGTTCATTTTAAGCATGTTTGAATACAGTGTTGCATTTCAGCATTACCATACTTTAAAGATGGATGGAAGCAGATACATAATCCCCAGTGTTATCCTATAGAACTGGAACTTAAGTGGGGGGAAGCCATTGAATTGTGTATATTTTAGATGCCTCCTTTTTATTAATGCAGTGTGATGATGGGAGTTCAATTGGGTCAGCAAGCCCAGTTCACTGAAAAATTCATTCAGAGTTTTAGTACAGCTTTCCTGATCCAAGCACAGAATTGAGCAGTGAGTAAGGAAACAGGTCTCTGTTCTTGTTGAATTCACATTTTTATCAAGATAGAAAACAGGCATACACCAGGTGTGGTGGTGCATGCCTGTAATCCCAGCGGCTCAGGAGGCTCAGGCAGGAACATCACAAGTTCAAAGCCAGCCTCAGCAACAGTGAGGGGCTGAGCAACTCAGTGAGACAGACCCTGTCTCTAAATAAAGTACAAAATAGGGCTGAGGATGTGGCTCAGTGGTTGAGTCCCCTGAAGTCAGTCCCTGGTACCCAAAAAAAGAAAAAGACAGAAACAGGCATACTTTGTTTTACTGTACTTTGCTTCATTGCACTTTGCAATGCAAACTATTTTTAATAAATTAAAGGTTTGTAGCCACTCTGTGTTGTACAAGTCTTTGCCATTTTCCCAGGAATATGTGCTCTGTGTGTCTCTCGTCACATTTTGAAAATTTCTCACTGTATTTCAGACTTTAATATGGTATCTGTTATGGTGATCTGTGATTAATGATCTTTGATTTACTGTTCTAATTGTTTTGGTGCATATGAGATAGGACACACCTAACATTT